AAAACAAGAGCAGAAAAGAGAAAAGGGGCCTCATCTCTTGGGTGGGGTTGTTTTTTTTCCTCACTGTTTGGCTCGAAGAGGTGTTGATGAAGCACGAGGGGACTTCAGAGCAGGCTGTCGAACAGTCCACAATATATATTCATAATAATTAAAATACATATTAAGTTCCACCACTAATGTGAAATGACAGCATCTAGGATCCCATCTAATTGCTGATGCATTACTGGCCTCTAGTGGTGATGGGTAATATGAGTGTAATAAATAGAGTAAACAGAAATAATGCTATAATAGAGGCTCTCGGGCAATACGGGGATGTGCACTGTAAGTTATTTATATTACACTTGACAGGGCCAGTGTTTATAAAGTCACTTCAACATTGACTTAACTCAGTGCTGAAGACTGTTGCCTCTAATGAGAGTAATCACCCCGGCAGAAATCATCTCATTCCCATCAGATAATTACACATTAGTGTCACAGCAGACTGAGGGAGGAAAGATGCATTCAGTGATTGGAAATCCAGTCAAAAATAACCATCAGACTCAGAGCAGCTTCTCCTGCAATCCAGTTCGAAATTGGGCAAAAATGAAAACCAAAAACAATGCAGGTCTGCAAACATGCACAGTTTATTTCTGATGTATTTCAAATGCATACTTGGGAAGCTGCAGACAAAAGATATTTGTGCAAATTACAATGAGCTGGTGTACAAATTACAGCTGTTTCCCACTTCAATATGTTTGGGCACAGAACATAAGGAATCAACTTGACTTGCTGACTGAATTTAAATGATTTGCTTTAGTGTAAAAAAAGTGTGCAGCCAATGAAACACACCCAGTATGCAAATTAAAAAAAAAAATCCCTTTATTCAGGACATACATCGATAGACTGGGCTTGTTCCTCTTGTACTCATTTTAAAAAGCATTTGGATATTCTCATTTCTTCTGCACCGGAGCGTCGTCCCTCTCCACCGGGAATATTTCAACTTCCTTGATGATCCTCTGAGCAATAATGTCGTTGTTTGCTGACATCATCCTCCGAGACATCAAATCGAAGGGTCCCCCTGAATAGTCAAACAAAGTCTTTATTAAGAGGGGTTTCACCGAAAAACAAATCCTGCTTTTAGTACTTATGACCTCCAATCATTTATTTCAGTTTGTAGTTTATTGTGGTCACATTTGAAAGCTTACGCACCATCAACATCCAGCACTAGTCCTCCGGCTTCTCTGACGATAACCACTCCAGCAGCAATGTCCCAGAGGTGGATCCCGATCTCAAAGAAGGCCTCCACCGCCCCCGAAGCCACCAGACACATGTTAGTAGCAGCTGTCCCTGACCCCCGGAGCCTGTCAGGACAACACCAGTTTGAGTTGAGTGAGTAAGTAAGCTACACTGTACAGTAGGCTAATTATAAATGGAGGGAAGTGGAGAAAAAGATGGTTTAAACTGGCCGGGAAAACTGTGTAACACAAAGAGAAGTTTGCAGTTCCATTCCAATATAATGATGGAGAAAAAAAAGGCACGTTAAGACCACTCACCCATGCACGGGGATGCAGAGGATCTTCTGCATGGTGGAGAAGATCTTGGTTACTTTTGCTACGCTCCTGTCAGTTCCGTGCTCCGAGATGATGATGGACTTGTGGATATCTGCAACGACAGCACAGCGCAGCGGTTATTGTTATGTTATGTATAATTACAGGTGTGACAGTGACTGTAAAGGTGCACACACACATATACACACACACACACACACACACACACACACACAAAAACCAGTCTAAAGTCCTCCAGATTGAATGTGTATAACCGTTTTTTTATGATTCCTTTTGAATATTTTATTATGTTCTGAAGGTCCTTGATGTGAAAGTGCTGATTGTGTACGGGGACGTTTCCAGATGGTGCATTTTAAAAGCAAAGCAAAGGATGGCACACGTTTATGTTCGATGCAGAGCTCCATTTGTGTTGTTTCCGACTTTCTGTCATTCTCAAATATGCGAGACAGAAAGACCAAACCTCTGACTGATGCTGAACAGAAATATGAGAGTGGTACCTTTGACATCGGACACCTGAATCTGCTCATCGTCGCAAAAAGCTCCCTTCCCCTTTCTTGCTTTGTACATTTTGTCTTCCAAGCAGCTGTACACCACACCAAACTCCAGCTGAAAACAAAGGTCACTCTTTCAGCTTTTCACATACCAAGTATAGATAAAATACTTTCATAATGACCGTTGTTAGATGGGACATACCTCCTTATTGACAGCAAAAGCAATAGACACAGCCACGAACGGGAATCTGTAGAGAAGTATGTGCATCAGATCAGAGAGCGTGATTACATAGCATGAAAACGCTTCTTGTGTCTATTAATAGGCATTCTAATAGGAGGAGGTTTTGGGAAATAAGGCTATTCGTTTCCTTTCAGAGATGAGAAAATCGATCCTAGCCTACTGTTAAAGAATTAATTTCTGTTGTAGAAATATGAAAGTGGAGCAAGTTAGCCTGGCTAACTTGCCTACTCCAGTCTGTATGTTTGTTTGTTTGTTTGTTTGCCAGCAGGATGACGGAAAAAGAACTGGCCCGATTCTCATGAAACTTGGTGGAAGGGTGTAGCATTTTCACTTTCATTAACGTTGCCCTGACAGGGCATGGGGCTTGGCAGAGGTCTGCGCTCTCAGACTGCCCCTCTGATTAAATACGGTGAATATTTGCTGCTATGTAATAAACCTTATAGGTGATTTGAGGACCAAATACACTTCTAATGCTTCTTGTAATAGTACAGCTGTTGAGTTCAAACTGCTCCCATACTGGCGCTTTGTCTGAACCCTTGGTGTCAGCTTCGCAAACATGTGGTTAACGTTGAGGATTCAAACCAAACACACTTCAGGCAACAAAACCACTTGGTTGGTTTAGGAAAAACATTATGGTTGTGCTAAAAATAACTTTGTAAACTAAGTAAAACATAAACAACATAACATAACGCTCTGGTTTTGGCGGTGCAACTTGGCGAAGATGACCCGCTCCACATTCAGACATAAAGGGCTCATTCTAAGCTAATACAAACACAAGAATACTTAGTTTCAGGTGGTCATACGCTTTTGAAAACGTAGTTATGAATATTTACAAATTGTCAACACGCACACATCTGGCGTCTTACCCATGAACAAAGTTGGTGGTGCCGTCGACCGGGTCTATGATCCACGTAGGTTTATCAGTTAGGATCACCGGCTCCCCCTTTGAGACGGACTCTTCTCCAATGAAACTGCAGCGCAAGAAGGACCGATGACAAATATCAAGATATGGAACAAACAGTGCAAAGATTAATTTACAGGTTTGTGTGTGTGTGTGTGTGTGTGTGTGTGTGTGACTCACCAGTGTGTGCCATCTCCAAATCCTTCTTTCAGAGAGCCGATGATGATTTTCTCCACCCTCTCGTCAGTCTTGGTGACCAGGTCTACAGTGGAGCTCTTTGTCTGGACCTTTATTTCTTCCTCCCCGGCTTTCCTAATTACCTAAACAAAGGGCCAATCAATGGCACAATTTAGGGATCATGTGGATAAAGTAGGGCGTAGTTCATATTTTGATCATTACAATATCTTCCTAAATATTCAAGCCAATGTTGCAAACACCAGAGAAGAACTACAGTCACAGATGGCTCGTACGTACCGCTCCAGCCGCTCTCGCAACTTGAACAGCGAAGTCATATTCATTCTGCCATGGGTCCGCCATTTCGAGTGTACGGGGGGGTGCTTTACTGAGGGGAGCCTGTAAAATGAACAAAGCTTGTAAAAGTGCAGTTATGACTCATAAATGCATAGAAGTGTCATTTATCATTCATTAGAAACTCAATAAATTTAAATAAATACAAAGGTATTAGAGGCTTTAAAAAAAGAAAGAAAGAGTTATTAGCAAGTTGTAAAATGTGTCAACACCCGTCTCTGAGGACCCACAATGCAATACTTCTAATCCTGCATGCTTAGCACACCCCTCTTACAATAGAGTGAGTTATGCAACACTTCCTATCTTACAGTCCTGCATTGTATTAAATCACCACCAGGGTGCGCGGGTTTGTAAAGAAACGTAGGTTCGGGGTGGGGAAGAAAAAGACAAAAGTTCTCCAGTGAACGAATAGAAAGGAAACGCATGTGAATGCCGATTCTTGCATTATATATTTAAAAGGCAATGCTTTATTTTGAAATTTGTCATGTCATGTGTTAAAGATTAGTGGCTGTCTCAATGGTGGAAGTAAAAGTACTAACACTGCACTGTGAAAACACTCCACTGCAATTAAAAGATTCAAAACCCCACTTAAGTAAAAGTGTGGAGGTATTATCAAGAAAATGAAGTACAAAGTAGCCATTGTGCAGTAAAATGTTCCCTGTCAGTGTTTTACTGTTATATATGATGTTCATGAATTAATATTGCTGCTGCATTAATATGTTACATTTAACTGCTGTAGATGTTTTTAACTCCTTTGTATATCTTTGGGTAGTTTAATCAGCAATGCATCATATTCTATAACATCTTCTATGAGAAACACATATTCACATCATTTTTGTTTTTTTTATTGGGCAGAAAGTCGCATAAAATGAGAAATATTTCACCTAAGAACAAATTTGAGATACTTGTACTTACTTGATTATTTCTCATCTACGCAACTTATTACTACTACTCCACTACATCTCAGAGGCAAATATTGTACTTTTTACTGAAATACATTTCAGATTAGAATTCCCACCTCATAAAGAGTGTTCGGTGATAAATTACACAAAAGCGACAAAACGTTATTCGACAATTATCCATCCATGATAGAACACACCTTTTACACACACACACACACACACACACACAGGTATCATCCATGCACCGTTACAAAAGGAAAGAACAGCTTACCTTGTGAAGACAGATGGACAAGCTGTCAGTGGAAGCTTTAGGATGCTAGTGCACCTTCATTTGAGAAATTTAACCTTAAGTTCCTTTTTTTGGAGAGATTAAGCAACTTTTTTTTCAAACTGGCATGACAGAATGGGAAAAGTACTAGCACCGCCCTCCTGTGTTTCTTCATAGCAACCCAAAGGAAGACACATACAATGAATGCAGACCTGCAACAACATGATGTGGATCAATGTAAGCAAGCGGAACATTTTGTCTTTGGAATTTCAGGACGACACACCCTGCTATGTGCTTTTCTGTGTCACATACGTACATGCCAAAGCTGACATGGCTAGTGATTAAATGTTGCAGCATAAGACATTTCAGACTCTTAGTGTTGATGTCAGCTGATGAACCGTTTGACCTGAGGTGAAAATCTTGCAGTTTTTCTGAGAAAGAAGAGTACATTCCAGCTCCTGACTTGGGATTTGGCGCGACAAACAAAAGTTTCCTGTCATTTGTTATATTTCCTGACGCTCTCACAGCTATTGTGCTTTCCCTTTTATGTCCTTCACAGTATTCCACTTGTGAATAAATACTTTGAAAGATCCCCTGGTGATCCAGCGTATGTGTGTGTGCACGCATGCCCGTTTCTCATTGTGCAACATCCTCATGAACTGAATGAAAGTATTTACTGCGGATACACAGATTTAGATGTGTCCGCATCTCCAAAATACACGTCAAAATATTTATCAGTACTGTTCGCACATAAAAGCGAAGCGTTATCACAACTCACCATAAGGTTACTTGGATGCTAATTTATTCTCCTCCTCTGGGAGACAGAATCAGGAGTTACTGCAAACAGCAAAGCTATGATAGTGATTCAAAGTAGCATTCTCACAATACAGTATAATTAGTTACCACAGTTGCACAGTTGCAGTGCAATTTTAAACCTCTCTTTCATTCAAAGGCATGATGCCCTCAAGTCCTGAAGGAGTGTAGAATATTACTTTCTAAAATCTTCAAGCTACTTCCCTTAAAAACAACCAAAACGTTACGTTGCAGGAAGACATACCTTGCTGCAAGACGGATTGTTCAATTACTGGTAAATGCTGCAAGTCTCAACATAATGACGTTGGGCCTCTTTACTTACTTACAACCTAAAATGTGAGGATAGTGGCGATATGTGGCACTGACCGCGGTGATCGGGGTGTAACGATGATTTAATATCATCGATGCAAAGTGAAAACATCGGCACATACAGTTATGTTGAAGCAGCACGTCGGGGACACTTCATTTCCATCAAAGCACACCTCCGTCCTACAGAGCCCAGTAATATTTCAGTTGCATCTTTTGTGAGTTGATATAAATGTAACGGATTGTGTTAAATGGACATTGTGTTAAAGTCTCTTATCGATCGCATCGTGGCAGACTTTGTGATATCAGCAATTGAATTAATATATTGTGATGAAACTTGTGATTTACGCCTCAACATGGTGAACTATAAGTGACTCTTGTTACAGTGGTTGTGTTACTGGAGACACAATCACAGATGCACACAAAAAGATGTACTAGGTTCTGCATTATCCCCATTTGTGTTAAAAAAACAAGAAGAAGAAGAAGAAGCAGTCTGTGGGTTTTTTGCGGGGCTCGTTCAGACATGATGTTCTTCACAGCCACACCTTGCATAACTCAAGTCTCTGTGGTGACATACCTGCTTTAACTATTTGCTCTACTGCGTCAGCAAAGACAGGATGAGTGCTTATGCAAACGTTGAATTATTACATTTGATCTACTTGAAGCAACTTATTGATCTGATATGGATAATCATATGATAACAGCTCGTGGTAACACTGTCACCCTTCTTTAAAAGTTGACAGATTCACTAGAAATACGGATTCATGAGCTTTAAAATAAGCAGACATCCGTTGAACAGATCAGTGTATGTGGTGACGTCTCTGTTTGACCGGGAGCAGCAGGAGAGCAGTTGTCATCCTGTTGTCCCTGTTGTGCACTAAATATAAGGTCGCTCTCTAAAATGTTGGGAGACAGGCTGAGGGAAGTGATAGGACAGGCAGAACAAATACATCAGTGCTGCCGTCTCCCTGGCAGGTCTGTTATGAATAATTTATCCGGGATGACGGATGTTTTGGATGTTTGGTTCCCTGGAATCACAGCTGTAACGGAGGCTTGCCATGATGCTGAAGCTGCTGAAGGTCAATGGTACAACCTGAAAGATGAGCAGGCGCTTCAGACATGCTGCTTCCTGTCTGGAGTCCTTCCTAAGTCCCCTTTGAGTTTCGAATTTGATCGTAAAGTATTGTACAAACTGAAATTTTGAACCTGATGGTGGCACAAGATGAAAAGTCAAATCCATCCTCTGGGGACCAGGAATGCCAACCTTTATGTGAACCTAGCCAGAAATTGTCAACCAGCTGCTTGCGCTAGAGGATAACTCAGGGGATCACCAAAGTCTGTAGGCTTCATCCTCTGAGGACCGTAAATAAATGTGAATGCAACTTTCATGGCAAACCATCTAAAAAGGTGTTCAGATACTTCAGTTTGGACCAAAGTTGTGAACCACACGTTCAACCTACAGAGGTATAAGCACAACGCTAACGTGGCTAACATAAGTAAGACACAAAAAAAGACATATTGGGGTATTGAAACAAAACTGAGAAACTCACAGGAGGCTAACATTGTTCTAAAACATCTCCGGGGAAACATTTCTGGGCTGTAGCAAGAAAACAGTTTCGCCAGCTTTTCAAAGAACAATGGTTGGTACTTCTGAACGGCAACCAGGACATAAAAATCAAAAAAGACTGGGAACCGGCAACACGAGCAGGTGCTGAAGTAGAAAGGTGGAGTCGACAGAGGAGGACTTTGCTTTCAGCCGGCTGACTCTGGGAATCATTCCCAGCCTTGGCGATTATGTCTCAACCCCCCGCTGCAGACTAACATGGACCATTGATTTCATCGGAGGGGGCCCCCAGCAGTATAGGACCTGGGTTTACTCAAGTAAAGTGCTTTAAAACCATTTGTTAGTCATCAGCAAACACAAGCTGGAGGAAAAAAACAGAGACGACAGTCCGTGGAGAGCAAAACTCGGGGTTATTTCATAGAGCACATCAGCCCGGGGGGGGGGGGGGGGGGG